TCTCAAGTTGCATGTCTGAAAAAAATCTATTAGTAGTAACACATAATGCATGATCATACCTGTTGTAGCCAAGTCGGATACACCAACCTTACTAGTAGGGACCTTACTTTTGAAAGGACTGCTAGTGTGAGGTACTAGTCAGGCTAAATAATTGGTTATGACTTACAAAAAATTAATGCATGCATATGCACAGTATACAACTGATATTTGTTTTAAATTTTTAGACTAAGGAACATTATTTACTGGACTCTCTTCTTTTACAGTCTGGCGATTATTTACTCCGTGTTTGCTGTGGCTAACTGGGGAGCCCCGTCTGTGGTCAGTGTGTGCGGACCTCGAACCTCCATGGTCATCGGAGCAGTCATGTACTGGTGAGGATATACTAGTAGTCATCAGTTAGAACTACAAAGTCACAGAGCTTTTTATGGATCCCATTGCATGCTGGGAAACATGGAGTGCTATGGGTAGAGGACAAACAAATTAGGATCCCATTGCATGCAGGGAGATGTGAAGCACTATGGGTAGTGCAGAGGACAAAGTAATTACCATAAGAACATAAATATTTGCTTGAGAATAGAACTTGTCACTTTGAGTGTTAAATGTGTAAAGGTGAGTCCTGTCTGTCTTGCAAATTTTTCACATGGACTTGATAGATATACTGCTAGAATAAAGCAGCAAATTGACACAATGGTTCAATCGTATGTTTTTTTCACAGCCTCTTCATAGCTGTGTTCATCTACCCAATGGTCTGGGCACTGTACCTGGGATCTGTGCTGATTGGACTAGGGGCAGCAGGTAATAATGAAATAATATATTTATTGAAAAATATTATGAAGTTATATTAATAAGAAATTCCAGTAACTATTTTTGATGTGCAAATATGCACATTAGGGCTAGGGTAATTATAACTGTTAGAATCTTTTATGTTGTGTATCAATGTTCTTAAATGCATAATGTGTGATTGTGTCGTCTTATTGTTTTCAGTAATATGGACTGCACAAGGAAGCTTTCTCACAGTCAACTCCACTCAAGAAACTATTGGACGGAACAGCGGAATATTTTGGGCACTGCTACAATGCAGGTAAAGTTCTCAGCTAATAAATTTGGTGTAATTCTGATATTTTATAGTCGTATATTTAAAATTTTATTTGCACTTCAATCTGACAGTTTCAACTGTTGTATTATTTTCTAGTCTTCTTTTTGGGAACATCTTTGTGTGGCAAGAATTCAGTGGAAAGGAGACCATTGATTGTGAGTACGGCTGTGTATTATAAAGGCATTACATTCCTCCAATACTTACTGTTGGGTATGACTATGATGCAAAATACTCGTATTCTAGTAAGGTTCAATATTGTTAACACTTATGTTTTGAGAGTGCAGTTTTATCATAAACCGTTAGGTGGTGCTCTTACGCATGTGTACACCTTTCACCCCCAGCGAAAACCCGTATCCAGGTGTACGTGGTGCTACTGGTGGTGTGCTGTGTGGGAACACTCATGTTGTTTGTACTGAGGAACAGAAGGCCGGAAGATCGCTCAGATCTTCTAAATGTCAACAGGTTTGTGGAATGCCTGGTTTCTTCCTAGTATTACGTTGAATGTAAGGTAATTTTATACTTCTAAAATATGTTTTTAACCAGTTGTTTATGTATGATTTACTATTTTGGTGAATTTTTAGACAAAGAAGCTGGAATATTGCCATTAAACATTATATATAACTGTGTACACTTAAACATTAATTTTGTTCGAAACAGTGGAGACCAGGCCAGCGAGGGACCACTTCAAGCATTTAGTAAGTAATGACTTCATTCTGGTTTGATTATTACTATGTGGATTTTAGACTTGTGGAAGTGCATGAATGCTGTTTATAAGTCAGAGTAAAGGTTTTTGTGTGAATTTTAGCACATTAAAAGAATTTTTCTTTCCATCTTGTAGAACGTTCCATCCAGCTTCTCAAGACAAAAGAAATGCTTCTCCTTGGAGTGTGTTTTGCTTACACAGGTGAGAAAACAATCATATACAAGTATGTAGAATTGTTGCCAAACATTTTTGCCAGGTTTATAATTGACTAACTTCTTATAATTGTTACATTTTCAGGTTCTAGTATCTTGTTTGAACTCACAATTTATACATAATGCTAGCTAATAGTTTATGAATAGAATCATTAGATAAACCACAAAATATTCTGTTTAAAGTCTTGAATGTTGTTGCAGGATTTGAGCTAACATTCTTCAGTGGAGTGTACGGTACCTGCATTGGGAACACAAAGGCCTTTGGTGATGAGGCAAAGTCACTTATTGGCATCTCTGGTGCTTTTATTGGGGCTGGGGAAATCTTAGGTGAGCCATAGAACAATAAAATGTATGATGTTACAAATTACAGCCTGTCATTTCTAGTCTTTGAATTGACAGAATTTTTTTGGTAATCTTTCTATTAGTTTTCTACTGTCTCTTAATATCTTAAAATGTTTCCAGATAGCATTTTAATAAAGTATAACGTCTAGTATTAGTACTTTTTAAACAATAAGAAATGTTTTTTTTTGTGTGGTCTCCTCTGCTCCATAGTGGTTTATTCCAGTGTCAGCCATCAGCATATATTTGGGCCAGTTCAAATTGCCAAAACAGCCTATTAAAGGGGTGTTCAGACTATATCTTCCTTTTTTACAGGCGGAGCGGCGTTTGGTCTGGGCGGGAAACTGACCAACCGCCACGGGCGTGATCCCATCATCCTGTTTGGCTTCATCGTCCACATGGCGGCGTACTATCTCATCTACATCAACCTGCCGCAGTCTTCACCCATCGGAGAAATCATCACTGATGCCAGCTACTATCCCGTACTCATGGACTCCAAGTGCGTATGTTATACTGCAAAGACTGTATGATCTCTACATAAGTTTTAGAATCTTATTCAGCCATCTACATATATCCATCCATTCCCTCATATATCCATTCAGCTATCCATTCATCTGTCCTCTTTCCAATATGGGAAATATTGTGGCTTTAAAAAAAGCATCTATGCCAATACTAGTACATAGGTGTTTTTAAGATTTTAGAATTCCATCACTAAACTTGATATTCCTCCCCTACAGTAAGTACGTAGCGATCCTGTGCAGTTTCCTGTTGGGTCTGGGAGACAGCAGTTTTAACACACAGGTGTACTCTATCCTGGGCTTCATGTTCCCAGAGGACAGTGCACCTGCATTCGCACTCTTCAAATTTGTACAGGTTGTATTTGTATAGAACCTTCAACAATTCTTCAAAGTAATTATATTTACAAGTATGCTCTGCTTGCTGTGCCATTAGGCATGTAGTTAAAAATATAGGCATGCTTAGTGAAATGCAATGTGTGCTCAGTATATGTATAATATGTTGTGGGTAATAAGTTAAAGGCATGTGAATATACATGTACAATGCAGTACTTCTGAATTACGCTGACTTCACATCTCATTAAAAAAAACATGGCAAATACAATACATTCGGGTACACAAATGGATATAAAACACAACAAAGACACTTATACTGCATATGACAATTGTACAATTGGATGGTATAATGGTGCAAAGAGTTCCACACTGTCAGTCTGTTTTTGACACTGTCTAGGTTCACTGACTTTGAGACATTGCAATGACTTAAACGAGTATTTGATCCTGATTGTTTCTTTTTCTTTTAGTCCCTGACAGCAGCAGCAGGGTTCTTCTACAGTAAGTACCTCCTGCTGCAGTGGCAGTTACTCATCCTGGTGGTGTTTGGAGTGGCAGGGACACTCGCTTTCTTTGAGGTAAGACATTATGTGTTCCATTCACTGCAGTTCTGGTAACTATTTTTAATTATTAAGCTCTATCTTAAGTGGGCAGTTGACCTTAGAAATGAGTACCAAGCTTTGGTTAGGGACACCCTCTCAGATACAGTTTAAAACTGAGGAAAGCCACATCACAAGTATGATAAAGAACCCACTACACTTATTGAAAAGAGAAGGCAGCCATCCCGGTGTAAGGGTTCAAACCTTACAGTCTGGTTGAGATATTTTATCAGTATTGCCATACAATTGGGTCTGGAAGTTTGTATCATGGAAAACTCTGTTTGCCCACAGGTGGAGTGGAAGACATCCAATGCCTCCAGGAAAGGCTATACCCAGATAGGATGACTAGACAAGCAGGACCAGGAGAGACTACTGTCTGACTCAGAGGAGGAGCAAGAACGGACACTTGAAGCTGCCGGCTTCTCCCAGGGACTACTCACATCAGTGCTGTAGGGGACAGGTCATTAATGAATGTGGTAGGGGGAGGGCTGTACTGAAAGATTTCTTTCTGTGTACATACCAGTGTTCTAGCCAGCATTCGTCTACCCTGCTACTCATGACAGACAAATTTCCCCAATCCGTTGTCTTTGGCAGACAAAAGTCGGTGTGTAATGATATGGAAAGAGATCTAGATGTCATACCAGCTTAATATGCTGCTCAAATTGCAGAAAATAGCATTTCAGAGGGTCAATATTTCAAACTTTTCCCGAAAGAGCATGCCCAAGACCCCCAACTTGCAGCACATGACATGATGGAAAATTGAAATGATGAATGAAAAAAAAATTCATGCTGACTAGAACACTTCTGATACACACATCAATCTTTAAGGTCTGTTTCCTAAGACTTTTATTGCCATTTGTAACATGAAAGTACAGTTATTATTTGGATTTGCAAAAAAAGTTAATATAGATCTATAAAATGAGATGTACAAAACTTGATATGCCATGATATTTCATATGAAATAAGGAAAAAAAAAGTGGAAATAGAAATTGTTATGCTGCTGTTGTGCATAAATACACTCAGTGTTCGAGAATTCTGCTGGTCCACGTAAAATTCAGGAATTTTTTTTCTCTTAGATGTATGCAGGTACATGCACAGGATCATGAGATTTACTTCTAGTGACTGTATATATATTCTTTTATTGCCAAATACAATGTATACAGTAATATACTCTGATTCCTGATTTTTTGGGCATTTACCATTACTATTTACATGTCACTGTTTACTTATTCTGCTGAATTAGATGAACTTTTAATGTACTTTTGAACGTGGTATAAAAAACGTGACAGTGCTGCTAAAGCTGCCACAGTATCCCCCATCCTGGAAAAATGCCTCCCATCAAGAATTTTTTTTCCACATCGACCTAAACTGGCTAATGTACACGTTATAAGTCTACTGCACCTCTAGGGTGTAAATGTGTATATAGCTGTTATGGAATTTAATTGTACTTGAATGTATGAGATGGCTATTTGTATAGTCTTGTAATTTTGATCAACAGCAAAGAATAAAGACTATTTGTCATTGATTTCGTCTTCAACTTTTTCTTGTGAACAATCTAGCCAGGCCTAGGATAATCTTACGAAAGGCACTAACTTAACCCTAAAGTTCAGCCAACATCAGTGAAAAAGCAAAGAAATTAAAAACATGAAAAAGGGAATATTTTAAGGCCACTCATTGGTCAAACCTTTAATTGTCATTCTCTCATTGGTTGAAACGCCAATTGTGATGGATAGGTTAACTCACCTTAGCTAGAACACATCTGCCTCGTGACTGAATAGTACACATGGACTTTGGACCCGTGTATTAACGTCATTCAGTCTAGCCCTCTCTCCCAACATGGCGGACAGAGCGACCATCAATGTTGTTATTTTGGGTTTATCGTTTATGTTTATTTTCACCGCCTTCAACACTGCTGGAATGATTGAGGTATGTGATGAATCTATAGTATATTTTTGATCTGACCTTAATTGAGCTGGGGAAACACCGGCATCTAGTATGACAAACTTTGACCTTGGGCCTTCAGGTTAGGTGCCGGCCAGGTCACCCTGATAACTGCACACGTCGTGTACGATGGCAAACAAAAGTAAAGGCATACATGGGATAGTCAGAAAAAGGCCTGTCACACATTGACGAATTTGGCCGCATTCCGTAGGCCGAGTGTCCCTTGGCCAAGTCGGAGTAAGTCGGCTCAAAGTCGGCTGTGTCAGTGGACTAGTGTTCGATTTACGTACGTAACGTCCCTCAATTTGGCTACTATACAGCTGCAAAATTAAACTGCAAACTTTTATATCAACTTGTATATGCTCTCTTTCTTTCTACTAGTAATTCAGAAAACAACCTAAACTGTGGAATACTGGTGTTCAGCTGTTTTCCTTTCTTTGCAGGAAACCGTCATCCAAAGCGTTCAGGAGGAAGGGAAGTTTGACGGAGGCAGCGGGTACATCAGGTAAGACTAGGCCTGATTACATTTGTCGTACGGCCGTCGTACGATTGCGAACTGAAACTGAGAGCATCCTCGCCCGACAGTCGGGCATGTGTTTCAAATATCCAGCAGTCTTGTTTGGAAATGCAGAGTCTCTTAGATCATTTGGTTCTGTCACAACTTGCTTGGAAATAATCAACATCGTCCGACGAACTCGAACCTCCTCACGTTGTGCAAGATATAGACTACATTCTCATGCAACAGAAATTATGTGGCACGAACGTGCATGCATTTTCAATAGCCTATATATATAGACAAATATACTATTATGCAAATGCATTTCGGAGTGTTGAAGTAAGATTGTGATGTTACCCTCAGAGGTTAGGCCACAACAAATCGCGTGGATAAGGTACTGAACATACAATGGTGGCTCTGACACACTATATATTAATTCTGTGCTTCCACTACAGTTTGGCCATCATCTACACAGTATTTGCCATGGCTAACTGGGGAGCCCCGTCTGTGGTCAGTGTGTGCGGACCTCGGAACTCCATGGTCATCGGAGCTGTCATGTACTGGTGAGGGGGCCGGGACTGGCTACAATACGACTGGAGAAATTCTTTTTATCTTACCATATGATGATTTTGCATCCATCAAGATGATAGCTTATACCGTATTATATACGTCGTGCATATAATGCCTTAAAGCTGTTTTGTCTTTTACTAAACAACTGAAGAAAGCTTAGGTCAGTACATCAAATTGATGTCAACCTCTCTTTCTTGAAATTTTTGACCCGCCATTTTGCCTGTCAATCTTCATTACCCACGTGCTGCCAGCCTACTCTGTCCTAACAAGATTCACAAATCCACCGCTCTGCCACCAAAACAATACTTCCATGTCCATAGATAACCGTGAAAACCAAATGAACGTTGTTTCAAGACGTTTTCGGTGGCTTATATCTTGTATATTTAAGTGTTATGTCTACTGTGGATTAAGATCATCTCGTTTTTGCTTTTTGCAGCCTCTTTATAGCCGTGTTCATCTACCCGATGGTCTGGGCTCTGTACGTGGGGTCTGTGTTACTGGGACTGGGCGCATCAAGTAAGGCTTACAAATACATGCTGTAGTTTACTTCAGGTCAATTGTGTACATTTAACTGTAAAACAGTTAAATGACTTCTAACTGTTTCTTCATTAGCAATTATACTAATTTATAGCAAGGCTTGATGATATTTTTAATTTAAATCCTGATTTTGTACCAGTTCTTTGGACCGGAGAGGGTTCATATCTAACGCTGAACTCGACACCAGAAACCATCGGACGGAACAGCGGCCTCTTCTGGGCACTACAGACTAGCAGGTGAGATCAGCCTTCCTGGATAGTGTTGTACATTGGTGATATTTTACAACCTAACTGTTCTCCATTCTAAGGGGTTGCGACGATAAAGAAATGCTCTCTTTCAAACATTGTTTAATAGTCTCCTGCAATAACGGTTGTTGGATTTGGTTTTCTTTCATTGTCCTCCAGTTTTCTGTTTGGGAACGTTTTTGTCTGGCAGGAGTTTACGGGAAAGGAGATCATCGATCGTGAGTCGCATTCTTTTTTTTCTTATAACAATTTAGTAATGATGATGATAGCCTGATGGGTGTACAGTTTATTTGCACAGAGACGTGGTCGCAGTTTTATCGTGACCTTCTTGGTGGTTTTCTTACACATATGCATGTTTTCACCTTTTACCTTTAGCCAAAACCCGAATGCAAGTGTACATAGTACCGGGGTATCAAACATACACGATACACAACATGAATGCTAGTGATTGTAATGATGGAACATGAGTACAGTTTTGTCATAACCTGCTAGGTTTTGCTCTTACCCGTGCTTATGCCTGTTATCTCCAGCCAAAACCCGTATCCAGGTGTACGTGTCACTACTGGTGGTGTCCTGTGTGGGAACACTCATGTTGTTCACACTTAGGAACAAGAAGCCTGGAGATTCAGCGTCTCTGAATGTCAACAGGTTTGGACAGGGACTTTTTGATTGTGTGAACAATTTTTAAATAACTGAAGGTCCAATTTAGTCTTCTTGAAATAATACACATCTGATATGTAACGGCAATGTTCTTTCAAACAGTGAAAACGACGTCGAGAATAAAGAGGGACCACTGCAAGCATTCAGTAAGTTGAAATCCAATTCAAGTTTTTGTTATTGCTTCATGTTAATGTCCATACATATGTGGTAGCCTCCAAAACTTTTTATACATTTCGTTTATTCGTACATGTACGTACATATTGAAAAGAAATTCAGTGTTATTGTTATCGAACGTCATAAAATGAATATTGTTTTACAGAACGGTCTATTCAACTTTTTAAAACGAGAGAGATGCTTCTTCTCGGGATATGCTTTGCATACACGGGTAAGGTTACATTGTTTGTTTGTTTTTATTTGTTTACCCAGGGTGTACATATCGCCACTAAGGCGTTTTTCAATGTACCGTGCAGGCATACATAAATAAAATATACAAGAAAATAACAGATATAACAAAATGATAAGTCAACTTATAAGTACAAATTAAAGTCAACTTAGTACAAGTAAAAGTACTATATAATGCCGCAACTCAGTAAGGTGGTAATAAAACAAACTTGTCAAACCAAGAGCCACAACTCATAGTAATAAAGGCAATAATACAAAAACAAATCAAGGATTACTAGTCCTACGCATACACGGGCAAGACTGCATGATTACTAGTCCTACATGTATATACATTACGTCCTGGATTTCACACGAGCGTAGTATATGAATATGTTCTGCTGAGGTGGTTCTTTAATTTAGCTTTCAGTTGGGCCATGTTGATTTGAGACGCGCATGAATTCTCGTCCGCGACACTGTTTTTGCCAACCTTTTTTTATTCGCATACTCGCATCAGTTTTGGGGTTCCAAAGGATATCATTCATGTAATCAAATCAAATTGGCCGTATCTTGATTATGTGATAACGAAATTGGTATGAAATTGCATTCTATACTTTTTTTCAGGATTGGAACTGAATTTCTATAGCGGAGTGTACGGTACCTGCATTGGGAACACAAAGGCCTTTGGTGACGAGGCGAAGTCTCTCATAGGGATCTCAGGTGCTTTCCTTGGTGCAGGAGAAATTATAGGTAAATAAAAACACTACACTGTCAGATCATACCAGAAAACAAACTAGCTTTCTACCAAAAGGAAAGCAGTAACATAGACTGATGGACATTGGCTGAACAGTTTTAGTTATACTTGCCTTTATTTATGATTTTAAAAAAAAGAAACACGAAAAAATGGTTGTAATGGAAAAAAATTATACAACTTTCTCAAATAAACTCAGACAATATCTGGCTAAATTACAAACCGTCAGTTAAGAGCCTCTAAAACCCTGTGTAACTGATGCTGTGTTGCAATGATAAAATTTGATACCTAGCAACTTTTATTTTGGGGCATTGTATACGTAGCAACTGCAAATGTTAGCATAATGACAAATAATTTGGATGGTCTATGCTTGAATCTACTGAACATTTTATCCATAAACATTCCTGACTCTAACGAAGGCGGAGCTGCGTTTGGTCTGAGCGGGAAGTTAGCTAACCGCCACGGGCGCGATCCCATCATTCTGCTGGGGTTCCTGGTCCACACCACGGCGTACTATCTCATCTACATCAACCTGCCGCAGTCTTCACCCATCACGGAAATCATCACTGATGCCAGCTACTATCCTGTACTCATACAGTCTAAGTACGTCCTCAATGTATATCTCAGGGCTTGAAAAATAGATTTTGGAAAGGCAATATTCTAGTCACTTATCTACATACTAAGTTTAAACAGCACTATTCCAATATATCGGTATTTGTGGAGCAAACATGACGAAAATTGTGAAGAAAGCAGTTACTGGTAGAATCGCACGCGCGGCTCGCGCGCGCGCGCGCGCGCGCACACACACACACACACACACACACACACACACACACACACGTACACACACACACAGACCATGACAATAATGTTTTTGTTCCACCATTATAGTAAGTACGTGGCTGTGCTGTGCGGCTTCCTGCTGGGACTCGGT